GCAGAGGGAGACATAGAGAAACAGACAAGTCTTCCTTCCACTGGTTTACTCTCCAAATTACTCTCCAAATGCCCCAAAGCCAGGTTGAAGCCAGTAGCTGGGAACTCAATCCAGGTTTCTCATGTGGGTGACAGGGACCCAAGTACTTGAGCCATCATCCCAGATTATGCATTAGCAGTAAGCTGGAATTTGGAGTAGAGCAGGACTCAAACCCAGGCACTGGAATATGGGATGTGGGTGTTCCAACCTGCACCTTAGCTGTTGTGCCAAATGCCTGCATGTTTAACATGCTCAATCCACAAACAACAGTATTCCCTCCACCTTGCTATTGGCTCAAGCTTCCATCTTGTCTCTTCTCTAATGCACAAGTTCCAAAGAATTCACATTCAGTTTCTATTTCGTAAAGTGGCTTTTGCTGACAGTCGGTTATTGAAATTACAGTTCACAACTGACTGCCTAATCAGTGAATTATCACGAGCCTCTGTCCTTCACACTCCTTTTACATTCGGCAGCCGATCATCTTTCCTTTTTGCGATTTCAAAGTCCTTGGTTGTGGGACGCTGCACTCAGATTTCTTCAACAAACTGTCCTTTCCCTCTTTAAAGTCACGGCTTCTTCTTCCACCACCTCACGGCTCTGTCTCTTGGCAAGCCTTTCCTTGACAGTCGTTTCCTTCTATTTTTTCATTTCAAATATTACCCATCTGAATGCTTCCCAAGTTTGAATCCAGTCAGTATTGCTTTTGTGAACTCTTACCCTGTACTTTCAAGGGCTGACAGGACAGTCCACTTTAGTATTCCTTGAATACAACATGTCCAAACTCACCAGCTCCTCCCCAAGCCCATTTTTCTTTCTTTTTTTTTGTTAGTAGTTTTAACATTTTCTTGGTCAAGACTGAAGAGTTTGAATCATGTCTCATTCCTCTAACCTCCTTTCTAAAACTTGCAATCAATCAGAGAATTCTTCTTATTCTTCTAGAGGCACATTCATGTGTTCTGACATTTCCACCACCACCTCCATCCGTCACCTACACAATCATGCTCACCTTTTTTTTTTTTTTTTTTAAAGATTTCTGTATTTATTTGACAGAGTTACACAGAGAGAGGGAGATAGACAGATTTTCCATGCACTGGTTTACTCCCCAGATGGCAGCAATGGCCAGACTGAAGCCTGGAGCCAGGAGCTTCTTCCGAGTCTCCCACATGGGTGGCAGGGACCCAAATACTTGGATCATTTTTTGCTGCTTTTCCCAGGCCATTAGCAGGGAGGTGGATCAGAAGTAGAACAGCCGGGACTCAAACCAGCACCCATATGGGATGCTGTTGTCGCAGGCAGTGGCTTATCTGCTACACCACAACGCCATCCTGTTCACTTCTTTACTGGTGTTTCTCACTCCACCTCAGTCCAACCTATCTTACTCAATGCTGATAGGGCATTTTCCTTAAAAGGACAGCTCTGATCATGGTACTTCCCTGGTAAAGAGTCTCCAATAGTTTTATTATCTCGAATAAATCTATATTCCTCGTTATCCAAGAACTTTATAGTTTGAGCCTTAAATAGGTATTTTTTTCTGTCTTACAATATCTTTTATCAAATTTTGTTTGTACAACAGGCTACTGTTTAAGATTTCCAAGTCTGAATCCTTACTCCTCTTGTATAATTTCTGTGTGACATGGACAAGTTTCTTAAATCTGTGCCTCAGTCTCTTCATCTGTAATATAGTAATAACCATTCTTATAAGGTTTCTATGAAATTTAAACACATGAAAAGTGTTTAGAAAAGTGCCTGGCATACAGTAAGCTCTATATGATGTATTTCATTGAAAGAATATTTATTGGTGCCTACAAATTCATACATATGCCAGTGATTCTTCTAAGCATTTGAGGATAATAAATGAACAAAAGAAACAAAAATTTCCTGCTTTTGTGAAGCTTATATTATGTAATAAAAATTATAATTATCAGCCGGTGCCGTGGCTCACTAGGCTAATCCTCTGCCTGCGGCGCCGGCACACCAGGTTCTAGTCCCGGTCGGGGCGCCAGATTCTGTCCCGGTTGCCCCTCTTCCAGGCCAGCTCTCTGCTGTGGCCAGGGAGTGCAGTGGAGGATGGCCCAAGTCCTTGGGCCCTGCACCCCATGGGAGACCAGGAGAAGCACCTGGCTCCTGCCTTTCGATCAGCGCGGTGCACTGGCTGCAGTGCGCCGGCTGCGGCGGCCATTGGAGGGTGAACCAACGGCAAAAAGGAAGACCTTTCTGTCTCACTGTCCACTCTGCCTGTCAAAAAAAATTATAATTATCAATTGTCCATAACTCTGCTTTTGGAATGTTCTTCCATCATCTTCAAGTCCAGCTTCCTTCAAGACCCACTAAAATTCCAGCTTACCCCTTAAAATCTTACCTTGTAGGAAGTTCTTATTTGAAACCTCTAACCTTTCAAATCTGTACTATGGCATGTATCACATTGTACACACTCTACCATGTAGTCTCAAGTATTACAGCTTTCTGCATGTTTTTGGTATCTTCTTTATTGGGTAAAATATCAACTACCCCGACCTATTCATACGTATAAGTAGTAGCACAATGTGCTCTGTACCTAAGTACACAGTAGGTTCTTAATAAATGTTTGTTGAGTCAATGTAGTTAAAGAAATCTTTGCATGTTCTTTCACTGGTCCTCTATTATAAAACTTTATTCGTAAGGCAGAGCAACAGAAAGAGAGGGAGAGACAGAGAGAGGATGGGGATGGGGGAGGTGAAAGGAACAGAGTGGGGGTGGGGAGAGGTTGAGAGGTTGAGACAGAGAGAGAGAGCAAGAGAGAGAGAAGGGGTGGGAGGAAAAGGAGAGAGAGGGAGAGAGGTATCTTCTTGTTGGTTCACTCTCCAAAAGGCTGCAACCACCAGAGTTAGGCCAGGCCAATTCCAGGAGTTAGGAACTCCATTGTATCTCCCACATGGGTGGCAGGGCCAAACACTTGGGCCAACTTCTGCTGCCTTCCCAGGCACTTTAGCTCAATGCTGGATGGGAAAGTAGAGTAGCATGGACTTGAATGCTCCAATAGGTGATGCCAGTTTTGCAAGTGGTAGACCACCTGCTGCGTAACAATGCTGGCTCATCTGACCTCTATTAACTAAACTTATCTTCAATTTTAAGTACAAAAGAAAATTTAAAATAGAGCATTTTATTTTCAATTTTGAAAATATCAAATATCAATATAAAATGTTTTATTACTTGATTTTATCACAGTTATTTGGTCCTGCATGTTTGCTTTATTAAGAACAATATTCAACATACTTAATGATTCCCTGTAACCACCATTTGAAAAGTACCCCATTTTAATTAAAGGGATAATTCTTTAAAGATTTATTTATTTGAGAGTTACACAGAGAGATGGAGAGAGAGAGAGAGAGGGAGGGAGGGAGGTAGAGAGAGAGAGAGATTGATTTTACATTTGCTGGTTTACTCCCTAAATGGTTGAAATGCTAGACCAGCTGAAGTCAGGAGCCTGGAACTACATCCAGGTCTCCTCTCTGGGTGCCAGGAGACCCAGCACTTGGGCCATTCTCTGCTGCTTTCCCAGGCACATTAGCAGGGAGCAGGACAGGAAGTGGAGTAGTTGGGATTTGAACTGGCACTTATACAGGATGCTGGCGTTATAGGCAGTGGGTTAATCTGCTGCACCACAACACTGTAAAGGAGTAATTTTATTAAAGTATATTTTGTTTGCTGTATTGTCTGTGGCATGCACAGATTTTCCCTATTTCTTTCTTTTTAACATGATAAAAAATTTTCAGGGACTCATCTGTAATTTTCTGGTTTATTACTTATTTTTCCCTGTCCCAAAGAACTGTATGTGTTTGAAATTTGCTTTTATAGCATCTAAAATAAGAGTTGTTATTTTTCTTTGTCATCAAGTATATTCTAAATTTTCTAGCTACTATTATTAAATTATTCTCTAGTTATGACCAGAAAGACCAGACTAACTACATGTTTTCTTACTTTCTAATTTTTAATACAGTGATGCTATAGATCATAATGCTATTCCCCCCCCATTTACCATAAGACACTGTACTGCATGATACTGCATTTTAAATTTCTTCTCTACTATTTAACCTTAGGTCACCTTAGCTATTGCTTTTATCCAGGTAGACCCCTCATATGGCATGACAATCTTCCGTTTTTTTTTATTTTTTTTATTTTTATTTTTTTTTATTTTTTTGACAGGCAGAGTGGACAGTGAGAGAGAGAGACAGAGAGAAAGGTCTTCCTTTGCCGTTGGTTCACCCTCCAATGGCCGCCGCGGCCGGCGCGCTGCGGCCGGCGCACCGCGCTGATCCGATGGCAGGAGCCAGGAGCCAGGTGCTTTTCCTGGTCTCCCATGGGGTGCAGGGCCCAAGCACCTGGGCCATCCTCCACTGCACTCCCTGGCCACAGCAGAGGGCTGGCCTGGAAGAGGGGCAACCGGGACAGAATCCGGCGCCCCGACCGGGACTAGAACCTGGTATGCCGGCGCCGCTAGGCGGAGGATTAGCCTAGTGAGCCGCGGCGCCGGCCCGTTTTTAAAGAGTTATTTTATTTATGTATCTGAAAGGCAGAGCCTGAGAGAGAGGGAGAGACAGAGGTAGAAACAGATGAGGGAGAGAGGGAAGGGGGGGGAGGGAGGGGAGAAGGTAGAGAGAGAGAGAGACATAGAGAGAAAGAGAGAGAGGAAGAAATTGATCTTCCACCTGCTGGTTCACTCCCCAAATGGCTGCAGCAACCAGGGTTGTGCCAGGATGAAGTTAGGAGCCAGGAGCTCCATCTGGATCTCTCACTTGGGTAGAGGAAACCAAGAACTTGGGCCATTATCTATTCCCTTCCCAGGTGCATTAGCAGGAAGCTAGATCAGAAGTGGAACAGTCAATCTGGTGTTACAAGCAGCAGCCTAAGCTGCTGTGCCACAATGATAGCTTCTCTCTCTCTCTCTCTCTCTCTCTCTTAATAACAAGGCCAACACAGTAAGATTTTAAATAATGATCAAGGTTTTTTTTTATTCATTAAGTTTCAGTATCATTACAGAAAATGTATGGTACAGAGTTGTTTCAACATTGTCTTTGCTCTTGATTTCCACATGAATGCTGGTAACACTAATATCTGTACAAGATCAGTCTTTGATTTTATTTTTTTTGTTCTGTACAATTTTTAAATGTATTGGTTAAAAAGGCTGTCAGCACTTAAGGAAGCATTTCCCCATCCCCCAGTTTGTTTGTTCAAATAAAAGGTATCCAGTTACTGCCCACGAGTACTGTGCCGTGAGGCTGCTGGGGTGAGAAACCTCCCCAGATGTTCCACAGGGGATGATTCTTGAGGCAGGGCAGGGCCTCCACCCCGTCCCTCTTCTTTTGGCACTGTGCACATAAACACGAGATACATGGTAAAGAACAAGCAGAAGCGCTCTGGAAAGCGGTTATGAAGCATACTAAGAAGGGAAATCCAAGTGTTGCCTACGCTAGTATAAATAAGCAGACAGCCTTGATTTAAGAGCATAAGTAGTTGTATTTTAAAGATGAGAAAAACACAAGTTCTGCAGGCACCTACTGCTGTCTACTAAAAGCTATCGCTATCAGACCTAGCATTGAACACACAAAGCAATTTGCAAGAAAGGAAAAATTTGCTTTGATATAATCAGAATAGAGTTGTCTGTTAAGATTTATTTTTAGGTGTTTTGTTCTTTAAAAGATATTTAAATTCATTTGAAATATAGTTCAAGATGTTGACTATACAGATCAACTTTCATCCAAATCAGAAAAACTAGCTGTGCCGTTGCATATTACAGGATACAGTCAATGATATGTGGACATGCATCAGAGCTTCTCCTGCTGGTGACCATCATAGCCGCCCAATGACCATGACATCCACCACCTCGCCCTTGTGGAGCTCCACATACTGCTCTGTCTTTGGAGGTAGCATCAACAGTCCATTGGCGCTGCGCATGCTCATCAGACGGCTGCTCATCTGATTACCTAGAAAGAAATGCTCTCGTTACAGCAGCACGTAAGCAGCACAGTAAATACGACGCCGCCTTTGGCGACCTTTTCAGAACGAAAACTGACAAGCAGAAATGCAGGTCTTCAAGGGGAAGAGAGATCATACTGCCCAGTACCTTTTTCAGATAGTGGTACTACTGTATCTCACCCCTCTCACTACAGCTTTTTTTTTTTTTTCACTACAGCTTTTAAAACAAACATTAGAATTGTTGCTTAAAAATATGTAACCAGGTTTTTAAATAAATATGCAAAATACCACAGAATTTCTTCATTCAAACTGAAGTGTTACATGTGTCCAAAAAGGAAGGTTTTAAAAACCGATTAAAATAATAATGATCATAAATGCTGCACTAGGTACAAGGTACTTTACTTAAGTATCTTATTTAATTCTCAAAATACCCAAAAGAGTCTTAGGTAATTTGCCCAGGGTCTTAGTAACTAATTTAGTGTCCAATTTGAATACAGGTCTCTCTGATGGCAAAGCCCATGCACTTAGTCTCTTGATGCTTGCACTTGATAGGACCTTTGTTTAAAGAGTTATACAAAATTTTCAGGATTTGCAATAAAAGTTAGGCAAAATAGGATTAGAGAAGTTGGGGAGAAAATTTGAAGTCTGAAGGTAATACCTATGGAACTCGAACTATCAAGATTGATTTATCTGTCGTTAAACTTCAGCAATACCTAGGGCATGGCTGAGGCCACAGATAATCACATCATAAATTGAGCTTTGTCAGCCATACATGGCAAGGGAGTGGCGACTCCATCCTCCTTAGCTCACCATTTACTGTAAACAAGTTATCTGTCCCACCCTTCTGATGCTTTGTTTAAGCCAGATAGGATAAAAGATGGCAAATCAGGTCTTTTGATGAGTTTTGTCCCTGCCTTGTAACTGAATGTCAAGCTGATAAGTTGTTTTTTTTTCCTTCACCAAAATTGTGCTTAAAAATGGCAGTACCATGTGCTGCTTCGTTTTTTTCCCTCTTTTGGAGCCCCTTTCCATGGTGCTCTGGCTGAAGGTCTTTGACTCTAATAAATCTTGATTTTAAATCTCAAAAAAAAAAATGAACTTTATTATTTAAAAAAATATTTTATTTATTTGAAAGGCAATGCAAGAGAGAGAGAGAGAGAGAGAAAATCTTCCACCTGCTGGTTCACTACCCAAATGACTGCCAACAGCCAGGGCTGAGCCAGGTCAAAGCCAGGAGCCAGGTACCCCATCCAGGTCTCCAACATGAGTAGTAGGTACCCAAGTACTTGGGCCATCTGCTGCTGCTTTCCCAGGTATGTTAGCAGACAGCTGGTTTGGAAGTGAAGCAGCTGGGACTTGAATGGGAGCTTCTGATATGGAATGCTGGCATCACAGATGACGGTTTAACCTTCTGCCATAATGCCAGCCCCTATATTGAGTTTTTTTTCTTTTTTCAACAAATTTTTATTTAATGAATGCATTTTTACATAGATACAACTTTAGGAATACAGTGGTTCTTTCCCCAATAACCCCCCCGCCCCCAGCTCCCATCCCTCTCCCATCTCCTTCACTATGATTCATTTTTAGTATGACTTTATATACAGAGGACCAACTCTATGCTAATCATAGACTTCAACAATTTGCCCCCACGCCCACACACAACATACCGAGTACAGTTTGGGGGAGAGAATTTGCAGCCGATTCTCATATTACAATTCAATAGGGACAGAGGTTCTCCCTGGGGAGCAAGTGCACAGTGACTACTGTTGTTCCTTTAACAATTAACACTCTTTTTTTTTATGACGTCAGTGATCATCCGAGGCTCTTGTCGTGGGCTGCCAAGGCTATGGAAGCCTTTTGTGACCACAGACTCCGTCGGTATTTGGACACGGCCATAAGCCAAGTGGATGTTCTCCTCTCCCTTCAGAGAAGAGTGTCTCCTTCTTTGATGACCCTTCCTTTCCTCTGAGGTCTCACAGAGATCCTCCGTGTAGGATATTTTTTGTCACAGAGTTTTGTCTTTCCATGCCTGAAATACTCTCGCAGGCCTTTCAGCCCGACCAGAAAGCCTTTTTAATCTCACATTTTAGGGTGGTATAGCCATACTTTCTTCCTTTTCCTACAACTATAGTTATACTCAAAACTTACCGGTTGAACAAACATATCCAAATGTTCTATAGTGCTAGATTTGTGTTTCAAAGGTTTACCTAGAAAATATGGCTCAATGAAGTAATTTTTATTTTTTTTACTCTTGTTCTGTTATGCTGTATTGTTTAGGAATAATTTAACTCATTTAACTTTCAAAAAGAAGAATATATAATAATTAAAAAATTAGGTATAACCAATTAAGAAGATTATGTATAAATTGTGTTTTAACAGATGTGAATGACCTACCTGTACTCTGTGCCCAAGGCAGTGGTTCTTGGTGATGCCAAGTGAGGATACACCGATGGTATTCTGGACGAGGATCCAGTTTTACATCACATGATAACTACAGAATAAAGAGAAAAGGAAAGCAAACATGGTCACCTGATCATTGCACAAAACTGCAGGGTGGTGGGAACTGCACAGAGAATACAGCAGATATGGGAAATAGCCTTGTCACTCTTATTTATATACTGCCATCTTATGTTCGTAATACAGGAAGTCCAGGAGTTGAGTCGTTCTGGTGTTCAGCTTCATGGTGGTCATAGTGGGGGAAAAAGGCAGATTAAAAAGATAAAGTCTGTTTTTATGGATTAAGAAGATGGACACCTGTAAATTGAGAAATTGAAGCAGGTATGTTGACACTGAAAATAAATGAGGGAGATCTAAATAAACGAATTCAATGTTCATCCATCCTCCATTCATCCATCCACGTATCCATCAAATTAATGTTAACTCAGGACCTAATACGTGCTGGGCATCATTCAGCTCCCCATTCATAAGCCTATCTTCAACATAAAAGTGAAAGGAGCTTTCTTTTTCTCTTGAGTATTCATTCTCCTAGTGATCTAATACAGTTATCAAATCTTAAGGCAAATGAAAGTCATCTCTACTTAAAGTTATACTGTTTTGATTTAGCTACATCACATGTTTTTCTCCTGGAATCCAAGTGAAACCCAATTCTTGTGTATTTGCTTGATTACATTACACCAACTCAGTTAATGCTGCATGTGTTTATAGTCTTTATCTACTGGTTGGGTAACCTGTCATTATTCCTAAATCATTCTGTGCTAATCTGAGGACAAAAAAATCACTCTCCCTTTCAATCCGAGTATGTCTGTTTTCCAGTACTAAACTAGGAGAGGTACCCACATGGCTGTTGTATTTCTGGTGTTTCATCAGAAAGCCTTTCCCTAGCAGTTACACTGATTGGTTCATGGAAAAATATTGAAAAGAGAACTGGATTGGGGGGGTCTATCAGACACCTAGGTCTACTGCCAGCTTTACAGCTAACTGGTGTGTTGTATTATCAAGTTATTTGATTTTCTATGCCTGTTTATTCATCTAAAAATAGTTAAATATAAACTTCAAGCTTTATTTATTTATTTAGACAGGCAGAGTGGACAGTGAGAGAGAGAGACAGAGAGAAAGGTCTTCCTTTGCCGTTGGTTCACCCTCCAATGGCCGCCGCGGCCAGCGCACTGCGGCCAGCGCACCGCACTGATCCGAAGGCAGGAGCCAGGTGCTTTTCCTGGTCTCCCATGGGGTGCAGGGCCCAAGCACTTGGGCCATCCTCCACTGCCCTCCTGGGCCACAGCAGAGAGCTGGCCTGGAAGAGGAGCAACCGGGACAGAATCCAGCACCCCGACCGGGACTAGAACCTGGTGTGCCGGCGCCGCAAGGCAGAGGATTAGCCTATTGAGCCACAGCGCCAGCCTTCAAGCTTTATAATACTAAAAATTTTAAACTATTATTTTATAGCTAACCTAAAAATGAAAATTTATTTTGTCTTAAAGAAAGATACTTATGTAAAATTGTAGGAGTCAGCTGCATCAAATTGAAGTGAATGAAGTTTTTTCATAGTCTCTTCACAAACAGTCGTTCCTTTTGTAGCTAGAGATGAAACCATTTAAAATTTGGCACTTTACTGAAATGCAGAATTCTGTATTAACCAGTATATTTATTTGTACTGACATTATAATTTTAGAATATTGCATTACTTAAGAAAGCACTTGTTTACCATGAACTTCAGTGTTTAAAAGAATGATGTACCAGAGATAAAAACTTAGATAAACCCTTTTTGTTGAGTAAAGCATCACAAGTGGTTTATGTTTCACTTCTGCTGATTTCTTTTGCTCATTTGAAACTGGGCAGTAGGCCATGGACTAGAATTGTTCCCTTAACATAGGCCTGGCACATAGTAGCCACTTAAGAGATGAAAATTGTATTATTTGCTGTAGCATTATCTGGTATTATTTATATGTAAATGTGCAGGGGAGAGAATTTACTTTTAAAAAAGTGAGGAGACCAAGAACACAAGCCATAGCTGAGGAAAAATATTTTCAAAAAAAGATTTATCTGATAAAGGATCATTATCCAAAATATACTAAGACCTCTTAAATTCAACAATAAGAAAATGAACAATCCAATTTTTAAAAAATGGACAAAAGACCACAACAGGTACCTTATCTAAAAATATACATATGGCAAATAAGCATATGATAAGATAGTCAACATCATGTGTAACCAGGGAATTGCAAGTTAAAACAACAGTGAAATACCACCACACACCTAATGAGAACGGTCCAAATTTGAAACATGAGAATAGCAAGTGCTGGCAAGGATGTGCAGCAATAGGAATTCTCATTCACTGCAGATGGGAATGCAAAATAGTACAACCACTTTGGAAGAGTGGCAATTTCTTACAAAATGAAATATGCTATTACCTGGCAACCCACCAACTATGCTCTTGGTATCTCAAATGAAGTAGTAAAAACTTAAGTCTACACAGACAGGCATGCTAATGTTATAGCACCTTTATGATCATGATTGCCAAAACTTGGAAAGCACCGGGATGTCTCTCAGTAGGTGAATGGATAAACAAACTGGTATATCCAGACTATGGAATATTATGCAGCACTAAAAAGAAATGAGCTCTCAAATCATGAAAAGACAAAGAGAAACTTAGATGCATATTTTCAAATGAAAGAAGTCAATATGAAAAGGCTATATATACTGTCTGATTTCATATGAAACTCTGGAAAAAGCCAAACTTCAGGGAATAAAATGATCAGTGGCTGACAGGAGTTAGGGGGAAGGCAGGAGATTTTGTGAGAAAAAGAGTCTTAAGATGACACACTCCAGGCCCTGAGTGGGGCTGAGACCCACTGCAGGATCTGGTTGGAATTTATGAAGAGGCTACGAAAAAAAATTTAAAGGTGCCTTATTACATTAATTATTTTTGATAAGTGCTATAAAAATTTGGCACTATCTGTATCAGTTCACTAGTGTAGGCATTGAGCATATTTACCCTGTACATCATCTGTCTGAACATACAACCTTTCACAAGGATTAAAAAATCCTTGTATGTAATAACATGAATCAGTTTCAAATCCTGTTTCCAAAGCTTCTAAAACCTAGTTATATTCCTCATTTCCTAATAAGTAAAATAATTTACATTTTCTATACATTATAGAAAGTTCTGTCATTTTAAATACCTCTTTTTAAAATTCATAAGCCATAATATTCTTGTTACAAGGTATCCAATAATATCTTTTAATGATCAATGATCGATCTTAATCAAAATAAACAATATTTCTTTCTACAACTACAAACACCTTAGCAATTTCAAACAATATAACATTTGTTGCAATGCCTGTAGTTTACTATGACATCGGTCAGAAAGCACTCATCAAGTGAAGAGACAAGGTGGACAGGTTAGAAAAGACTGGTGGTTATAACGTGCAGTCTCCCCCTGCTCTGGGAGCATATGAGGTGATGGTATTTTCCCTTTCCATCTCTTCGTCTTTATTTTTTTATAGAAAGGTTTCTTTGTAATTTGAAATGAAGAATTACAGAGAGAAAGGGAGAAACAGAGAGCACGCATGAGCTTCCATCCATTGGTTCACTCCCTATTTTTTCATCTTGTAATTACTCCATGAGGCAAGTTGTTAATATTAAAGGGATTACCTCAGTTATGTTCCTAGAGAAAAATGGTGAGAACCAGTGCAGTACAGGATGCTTTGATGGGATATTGAGCAAACACATGATAGACTGTCCTTGAAAGACTGGGTCAATAATTATATTTGATTAATTGCTAGAATTGTAATTTTTTTAGAATTATATTTTTGATTATGTACTGAAAATCAGGAGTGTTTCACCTTCAACCATGAATGATTAAGGAAATATGTAAAATATTTTAAACTGATGCTCTTCTGAATGCTTTGATATAAAAGAATGACATCTTCTGTACTGACTTGTTAAAAATAATGCAGGATTACACTATCCATAGGATGGTAACATCAAAGTACCAGCATTTAACATCCACTTTACTTCCTCAAAAAACTGGTGCAGGCAATGAGTGTGGCATCTGTTTTGGAGAACAGTAATACATGGTTTCTGTAAGCTGCATCTTGTGTGGTCAGAAAATAGAGATACTAAGATTTACTGTTTCAAGTAAGTGATGAACACGGTTATGATCCAAAGTGGCAGTTTTGTCAGCAAAGGTATATAGGTGATTAAGGGGAAGAAAAATAGGAGCCAAGCAGCCAAGCACACTGATGACCCACGCTTGCAGTTGCAGTGACACAGCTATGGGTGAAAGGTGTCTGACTTCTTCTGGAACCAGTTCTTAATTCCTGGAGCGGATAGGAAATGGGCAGCATCATGAACAACGTACAAGCATCAGTTTGATTCTATGGCATCACCTTGCTGTTGTCAGAATAGGTAGTTACCATCATGTCAGTTTTAAAGAAGGGAAGGTGGATGTTAAAATGATATGAAAGGATTTATAAAAGCTTTGCAAAGTCAAAGTCCCTCTTTCTCTCATAGCAATGTGGATTTTTTCTTGTTTGTGTTTATGTTTGTCATTAGCAAATATGAAAACAGTAAATTCAGTGTTGCTGATGTGACTCTAATACTCTGGTTTCTCTTCAGATCATATAAATCTTTCGCCTTTTACTGATGTGACTCTAAATCCAAGCTGCACACATCTGACCTCTTGACCTTTTTGTTCATTGATGACTTTTTTCCTTTGTTCACTCAATTTCAATTAAGTTTATTTTTAAAACTCTAGTTGAATTTAAGTGAATTTAAAAAATGAAGATGACCTCTTCATATCCTAGTTTAGACAGGGGTAGGGAGCCTTTTTCTGCCAAGGGTCATTTGGATATTTAATAACATCATTCATAGGCCAATTATCAACTTAAAAATTAGCCTGCTGTAGATTTACTGAATTTCAAGTCCTGCCTGCAGCTGTCTTGGCAGGGATAGGCCAAATGATTTTGCAGGTCTTACACAGCCTGCAGGCCAGGCATTCCCCATTCCTCATTTAGAAGGTCAATGTTAAAAATATCTAATGCCTGGGTTTTAAAAAATGTTTTTATCCTGTGTTTCTTCAGAGTAACATTTCATTAATATTTTCTGTTCTATGTTTTATATCCCTCTCGTCAGCTAACCTTAGAATTCTATCATATCTAAATTTGTATAAGAGCTCTTGAAAAGTAACGGTTTGATACTGAAGTCTATATTGCTGAGTTTTTCATGAGTAGTGCAGAAATTTCTGTTTTTTTTTTTTGACAGGCAGAGTGGACAGTGAGAGAGAGAGAGAGAGAGAAAGGTCTTCCTTTTGCCGTTGGTTCACCCTCCAATGGCCGCCGCGGCCAGCGCGCTGCGGCCGGCACACCGCGCTGATCCGATGGCAGGAGCCAGGAGCCAGGTGCTTTTCCTGGTCTCCCATGGGGTGCAGGGCCCAAGCACCTGGGCCATCCTCCACTGCACTCCCTGGCCACAGCAGAGAGCTGGCCTGGAAGAGGGGCAACCGGGACAGAATCCGGCGCCCCGACCGGGACTAGAACCCGGTGTGCCGGCGCCGCTAGGCGGAGGATTAGCCTAGTGAGCCTCGGCGCCGGCCCAGTAGTGCAGAAATTGTATAACAAAATTAGTTGAGTAGTAGTTAAGTCAGATTAAAGTTAGTGTTTGTGGGGCTGGGGATTCTTTACTTCCAAGTGACTTTTACCACAGGTGTACTTCCCAGCCTTAATGGTCTTCTTCTAAGAAGTATGGTTATTCCTTCCACCTGAATCACCAGAGTCTCGCGTTCTTTGGTTGTTTCTTTCTGAATTATTTGAAATTTATCATTGAGGTCACAAAAAAGTAACCAGGTTAATTGCTGCTGTCTTTACCTGAGAGGAGATAATTCTTGTCCTTTGCTCCATTCAGCTCAGCATGTGTTTAAACTTTTAAGCCTTGCTCTCTGAACTCCTATATGGAGTCACGTAGGAGAGGACTAAAAGTGACCCTGTCCCTCCATTTTTTATCATGAAGGGGAGAATATAATCACAATTTCCATAAAAATTAATATAAAATTCTGGATGTTTATTTTGGTAAGTTAGGAAATCACATTCTCCATTTTTACCGAGATTCAGCTGTGGTTTTTAATCATTAGGCAACATTACCCTGGCTTTGATGATGGTTGGCCGAGGATCCAAGATGCCCTGCATTTTCCTCAGTGCAGGCACAACAAAGAGATTGCAGGTGACCACGGCTGATACAGGATTCCCTGAAAGTCAACCAAACAGTTACTTATCGTGCACCACATACAAATTTGCCAAATAATTATGTTTGTCTATACGGGAGTGACTAGCCACTAGTCTTCCTTTTCTGAGTCGCCTTGAACCCAACAGGGTGCTAGAATACAGGTGTAGACAACCAAACGCCTCAGAAGGCACAAACATTTGGATCTTCCAGTAAAAGAGATTTCTGATACCCAGAAGCTGTTTAACACTATTTCTGCTTTCCTGAGAGTCACTGCCAATCTTCAGTTTTAAAATAGTTTGAGTTTTATACATCTACTTGCTATTTTTAAAGCATTTTAAAATAAAATTACTATAGTAATGTTTGTTACTCCAAAATTGGAAAACACAGGTGAGAATAGGAAATTTATCTATTATCTTCCCTACCCAGAAATTACTTTAAATTAAAAAAGAAACAAAATGGTTTAAGATGTGAAAGGACTTGAAGATGAATACTGTCTCCACCCATTCCTTCCAGTTCTTATGGTCAAGTTCTAAGTCCCAATGTGACTGTTTGGAGACAGGGCCTTAAGGTTAAATGAGATCCTAAGGGTGTGACCTAACCCAATAGGACTGGTGTCCTTACAAGAAGAGGAAGAGGGGCTGGCATTGTGGCATAGCAGGTAAAGCTGCCGCCTGCAGTGCCGGCATCCCATATGGCTGCCAGTTCGAGTCCAGCTGCTCCACTTCCGATCCAGCTCTGCCATGGCCTGGGAAAGCAGCAGAAGATGGCCCAAGTGCTTGGGCCCCTGCCCCTTGTGGGAGACCCAGAAGAAGCTCCTGGCTCCTGGCTCCAGATTGGTACAGTTCTGGCCTTTGTGGCCATCTGGGGAGTGAACTGGAGGATGGAAGATCTCTCTTTCTCTCTCTCTTTCTCTGCCTCTCTGTAACTCTGCCTTTCAAATCTTAAAAAAAAAAAAGAAGAAGAAGAAGAAGAAGAAGAGGAAGAGGAAGAGGAAGAGGAAGAGTCCCCAGGGGTGTGTGTGCACAGAGGAAAGGCCATGTGAGCACAAGGTTGAATGTGGCCATCTGTAATGCAGGAAGAGAGTGCTTACCAGAAACCAACCCTGCTGGCACCTGGATCTAGAATTCCAGTCTCCACAATTGTGATAAAATAAGTTTCTGGTTTTTGTTATTCTTTTGTTTTTTCTTTCTTTTCTTCTCTCATTCTCTCTCTATTTCCTTCTCTCTTTCTTTCTCTCCCTTCCTTCCTTCCATGGTCCTTCCTTCCTTTTCTTAAAGATTTATTTACTTGAAGGGCAGAGATTCAGAGAGGAGAGATCTTCCATAGTCTAGTTCACTCTCCAAGTGGCCACAACAGCCAGATGAGGGCCAGGCTGAAGCCAAGAGCCAGGAGCCATGAACCAGGAACTCCATCTGGGTCCCCCATGTGGGTGGCAAGACTTTAAGCACTGAAGTCATCATCTGCTGGTAGCGCGGAAGCCTTGGTGTCCTAAGTGGCAGCTGATGGTTTTTAAACCATCCAGGCTATGGCATTCTGTTGTGGAAGCCCAGGCAGACCAATACAAATACCAAGTTCTTTTAAAGTTATAAGAATTTGAAGAATTTAACTGTACTTCTCCAAGAAGAAATCTAGGTGTGTCATGAATTTGGAATGAAGGATCGGCTATGAAAAAAGGTAAACAAACAAAACCATTGGCCTAAGAGTAATACATTTGGTTGCTTCTGTGGTATCATAAAGTAACTAACTAAGCTACATGAATTTGGCAAGTACTTTTATTTACTTAAAATTTTTATTCATTTTTATTTACTTGAAAGGCGGGGGGCGGGGGAGAGGGAGAGAGATCTTCCACCTGCTGATTTACTTCAACAGCTGCCATTTGGGAGTAAATCAATGGATGGAAGATCTCTTTCTCTTGGCCTCCCACTCTCTCTCTGTAGCACGGCCTTCCAAATAAATTAACAAATCTTGAAAAAACACAACAAAACAAAATCCAGGAGCCAAGAACTCCATCTGGGCCTCCCATATGAGTGGCAAGAATCTACGTACTTGGGCCATCATCTTGTGCATTAGCCTGGCAGGTACATTAGCAGGGAGCTAGATCAGAAGAGGAGGTGGGACTTGATCCCCAGTGTGTCAATATCGGATGCAGGCATCCCAAGTAGGGGCTTAACCTGCTGCACCATACTCCCACCCCTACCTCTCAAACCTTTTTGATACTAATTTTACTCATGTATAAAATGAAAGGTTTGGATTACATGATTGTCAAGATTCCTTCTAGTTCTAAAATTCAAATTTTATTAAGTAATTTATACAGTGGTATGTGAATTATATACTGGAGGTGGGGAATGGGCTATAAAATTTTTATCTTCCTTTAGCCCAAGTGCCATTAATTACATCATTAGAGTAAAAGGCAATGATCAATTTAGCTTCCCAATAGCTAAAACTACACCTTCAAAAGTAGTTAAGGATGAAATTTTTTTTAAATTTCAAAATGAGATGAGTGATATTAATAATTTCAATGGAAAAATGAGTTGTCCACTAGAATGGCAGAATTTAATCAAAATCAATTACTTTTCTCTCACCTCAAAATATAAGCAAATAGAAATTTTCCCAGAAAAACAAAAGGAAAAAGTCATTGTTTACTAATGATTAGAAAATTCTCCTAATAGTTCTGCTTTATAAAATTACTGTATATAGGTTGGCGTTACATAGTGGATAAAGCTGTTGCCTGCAATACCAGCATCCCATATGGGCGCCACTTCGTGTTCTGGCTGTTCCACTTCCTATCTATGCTAATGATAGCTCTACGCTAATAGCCTAGGAAAAGCAGTGAAAGATGGCCCAATTGCTTGGGCCCCTCCACCCACATGGGAGACCCAGATGAAGTTCCTGGCTCCTGGCTTTGGCCTGGCCCAGCCCTGGCTGTTGCCCGCCATCTGGGGAATGAACCAGCAGATGGAAGATTCTCTCTCTCTTTCACTGTAACTCTTTCAAATAAATAAATCTTTAAAAAATTACCATATAAATAATGAGTTGCTCTATATAAGAAAAAGAACTGTAAGGATTAAAATCAAATGTTGTGGGTCCGGCACTGTGGCGCAGCAAGTTAAAGCCCTGGTCTGAAGTGCTGGCATCTCATATGGGTGCCGGTTCTAGTCCTGGCTGCTCCTCTTCCTATCCAGCTCTCTGCTATGGCCTGGGAAAGCAGTAGAAGATGGCCCAGTCCTTGGGCCTCTGCACCCATGTGGGAGACATAGAAGGCTCCTGGCTCCTGACTTTGGATCGGCGCAGCTCCTGCCATTGTGGCCATCTGGGGAGCAAACCAGATGGAAGACTTCTCTCTCTGTCTCTACCTCTCTCTGTAGCTCTCTCTTTTTTTAAAAAAAATTAATTAATTGATTTTTTTTTGACAGAGTGGACAGTGAGAGAGAGATAGAGAGAGAGAGAGAGAAAGGTCTTCCTTTTGCCGTTGGTTCACCCTCCAATGGCCGCCGCGGCCGGCGCACTGCGCTGATCCGATGGCAGGAGCCAGGTGCTTCTCCTGGTCTCCCACGCGGGTGCAGGGCCCAAGCACTTGGGCCATCCTCCACTGCACTCTTGGGCCACAGCAGAGAGCTGGCCTGGAAGAGGGGCAACTGGGACAGAATCCGGCGCCCCAACCGGGACTAGAACCCGGTGTGCCGGTGCCGCAAGGCGGAGGATTAGCCTATTGAGCCGCGGCGCTGGCTTGTAACTCTTTCAAATAAATAAAATAAATCATTTTTTTTTTTTTGACAGGCAGAGTGGACAGTGAGAGAGAGACAGAGAGAAAGGTCTTCCTTTTGCCGTTGGTTCACCCTCCAATGGCCGCCGCGGCCGGCGCGCTGCGGCCGGTGCACTGCGCTGGTCCGATGGCAGGAGCCAGGAGCCAGGTGCTTTTCCTGGTCTCCCATGGGGTGCAGGGCTCAAGCACCTGGGCCATCCTCCACTGCACTCCCGGGCCACAGCAGGGAGCTGGCCTGGAAGAGGGGCAACCGGGACAGAATCCGGCGCCCCAACCGGGACTAGAACCCGGTGTGCCGGCGCCGCTAGGCGGAGGATTAGCCTAGTGAGCCGCAGCACCGGCTAAAATAAATCTTTAAAAAAAAACCCAAATGTTGTAAATGGCAGTTATTTATGGGTAGATGGGCAACTATAGTAATATTTCTTTATGCTTCTCTGTATTTCGTAACAAATAGTGAACAAGTGTCACTGTAGTGATTTTAAAGTTAAGAATATAGCAAGTAAGTACACAAAATTTAAAATTTTTCTTAAATAATTAATTTATTCTTATTCTAAATGCAGAGAAACAGAGAGAGCTCCTGTTTGCTGGTACACTTCCCAGATGCTCACAGTGGCCAGGACTGGACCATGCCCAATCCAGAAGCCAGGAATTTTATCCAGGTCTCCCACATGGGTGGCAGGTACCCAAGCACTTGAGCTACCATCTACTGTGTCCCCGGGTCTGCTCTGGCATGAATTGGAATCTGGATCTTGAGGCAACAATTGAGCCCACATACTATGATAGGGAAACAGGTGTCTCAATCACTAGGCCACATGCTTGCCCCAGTAAACATTTAGACTGCTTTAAAACTTTTCAAGGTTACTGACAGCTTTAAATGCATGGCCCCCAGGACAGCAGAAACTGAAAATCCTTGTAAATTTCACCACTTAGCTGTTTCAACAATCTGAACATATGCTGCCCTCTTTTGGCCTATTTAGGCTGCTCAGAGGAAGTTTCAAATTAAAGTAGCAATTTGAAAACAGATTTTAATTTTTTAACTTCTTAAGTAGATCAAGAAAGAGAGGGAAGAGAGAGATGGGGGAGATGGGGAAAGACAAGGATTTTTTTTTTTTAAGATTTATTTTTATTTATTTGAAAGGCAAAGGTAGAGAGAGAGGGAGAGACACAGAGAGGTCTTCTATCTCCTGGTTCACGCCCCAGTGACCACAACAGCAAGGGCTGGGCCAGTGCTAAACCGAGTCAGGAATTTTTCCAGGTTTCTCACGGGGGTACAGGGTCCCAAGCACTTGGGCCATCCTCTGCTGCTTTCCCAGGCATGTTAGCCGGGAGCTGGATCAGAAGTGGAGCAGCCCGACACCAACCAGCAGCCATATGGGATGCCGGCACTGCAGGTGGTGGCTTTACCTGCTATGCCACAACACTGTCCCTGTTGTAGTTTAAATAGGAACTTCAGTAGACAAAATAGAGTCTCTTTTAGGCAAGCGAAAGCTAGGGCATGGAGCACATTTCTTTAGATGATGATGTTCAGAGTATTCAAAGAAATATTAAAGGCCCTAAGAAGTTTCATGTTCTAGGTACATTTTGAAGACTATTTTAATTACATGTCTTCTCTCTCAAAATTTTCTATATGAGTGTGGGTATTTGGCATAGTGATTAGAAGTATGCTTGGAATGCCTGTATCCCATACTGAGTGCCTACTTCAAGTGCCCAGTCCAGCTTCTTGCTAACAGGCACCCTGGCAGGCAGCAGGTGATGACTCAAGTAGTTGAGTTCCTGCCACCCACACGAGAAACCAAGATGGAGTTCCCAGCTTCTGGCTTCCACCTGGTCCAGGCCTGGCAGTTGTGGGTATTTGGGGAGGGAACCAGAAAATGGAAGATCTTTGTCTCTGTTTTTCTGCCTTTCAAATAAGCTAAAATAAAAATGTTTTAAAATTTCCTATATGATAAAAATGTAATCTTTTATGCTTATTTTTTTAATAAAAAATAACAGCATCCGTGCTGGCTGTTGTGGTGGCCTTTGGTCTTTTTTCTTTTTTTTTTTTTTTAGATTTATTTATTTATTTATTTGACAGGTAGAGTTACAGACAGTGAGAGAGACAGAGAGAAAGGTCTTCCTTCCGTTGGTTCACTCCCCAAATGGCCGGAGCTACGCTGATCCGAAGCCAGGAGCCAGGTGCTTCTTCCTGGTCTCCCATGCGGGTTCAGGGTCCCAAGCACTTGGGCCATCCTCCACTGCTATCCCAAGCCATAGCAGAGAGCTGGACTGGAAGAGGAGCAGCCGGGACTAGAACCTGGCGCCCATATGGGATGCCGGCGCCACAGGTGGAGGATTAACTTACTGCACCACAGTGCCGGTTCCTCTTATGCTTATTGATATGGGTTTAAAATTGCTTTTAAAGTTCAGAATTTTTCTGCCTTCCTCTCTTCCTTATATCTCTACTTTGAGATTTACTTACTATACAAAGCAAGCAAGTAGTCTAAAGCTATGAGGCTTATGAATCTGAAAGTAATAAATCAGTTATTTTCTGAAGGAATCTGTGCCAAACAATAGGGAATTGGGCAGAATTATCAGAGGGTAATTTTAAAAGTAAAAAAATAACAAGTAGATACATAAAAGTTCCAAACTGCTTAAAAATTGGTCAAGATTCATCATATTGACTTTAAATGCATGGCTGCAAATAAAAAAAATTGACTTTGAAAATCTTTGTACATGAATCACTTTGCTTTTTCGACATTCTGATGCTGAGAGTTTGTGTTCACGGGGGAGCTGGTAGGGAGTGATGTGATGTCAGACCCACGAGGGGGATCTGGCTGAGAAGCACCATTACCAGTAACCTCATCTTCCCTGGACTCTCTCCCCTCAACTAACCCAACCTTGCAAGGACCAGAGGGAGTTTAGTGTTTTTTTGATCTAGTATTTGCATAGGTGACTCAAGGCTCTTTGGATCCTTGAGCACAATATTTCCATTGTGAGAAGTGACTGGACTGCTAACCACAATCAATTTCCTGTGAGGAAAAGGCAGGTGCTCCAGAAAGATGATGTGACAACTAACATTCGATTATCACCTTAGGGATTGGGAAGTGCTTTGGAAGATGACGTGTACTTTTATTTTCATACCAACCCTATGACGTAGGTATTATTTCTGTTTTGACAGGTAAAGAAACAGCCTCAGAGAGGTTAAATGATTGTGGGTTAGTAAAGCTGAGACTTGAGCCCAGGTCTTTCAGATTCCATGTCAAGTGATCTGATAGGGGACTTGGTAATGTGAGCAGTTCAAAAGTCTTTGATCACTTTTTCCATAAAAATCAGTTCCAATTATTCTTACCAGGTAGTGCAAAGATAATTTTTCTTACACCATCGATATCCAAAGTAGCGAATGTTGTTGGCAGGCTAGAGAAAAAAGAGGTAACTTGTTAGTGATCACCAAAATGGTATGAGTCAATTAAGTACTCCAGTTTTCTTGCTATGTGGCTACCCATACAGATCACTTAAATAAAAATACTTGTTTGTTAATTCACCTTTAAACCTTGATACTCTGAAATATTTCAGGAGTACCTAAATATATTTTTTAGCATCTTCAGTTTTCAAGTAATCAAACTTCTTGGTTTTGTGTACCTTATTTTTTTTTCTTGCTAGTATTATAAAAATGTACTTTGAATCCTGGCGTTCCCAAGTTTCCCATCCCTACAGTTAATAGTCTACTATTTTTACTACAGATTTATAATAATTCTTATTGTCAAAGACTGCCTCATAATATATGTCGTCTCCCTATTGTTCAAGATGAATATTTCTTATCTTTTAAAACTATACAAAACTATACTCAACAACACACATAAAAGCTCCCTATCAAGGGAGACTTTTGAAATATCCAAATAAATACAACATCCTGACTAGAACAAAACTAAGGCAACAATAATTTTTAAAAATGATCAAATTATATTTCCTTATAATTCTGACACAACTCTTATTGCGGGGGGGAGGTGAAGGGTGAGCAGCAGGGAGGGAGTGAGTAGTTGAGAATAGTGATTTTTTCCCCTATTACATCTCATGTAGAATTTTAGCTAAAACTCTTATATTAATGAAACTTGAGTGATGAAGCATCTTTAGGGAATGCTGAAATTTCCATATAGTTGGAAAGTTATACTTTTAAGCATCCAAACTGTATATATTTATTTTTGCAGGTTGATCTTTCAAAAATGGATCACTCTTGGCACGCGCCACGGCTCACTAGGCTAATCCTCCACCTGCGGCAACGGCGCCCTGGGTTCTAGTCCCGGTTGGGGCACTGGATTCTGTCCTGGTTGCTCCTCTTCCAGTCCAGCTCTCTGATGTGGCCTGGGAGGGCAGTGGAGGATGGCCCAAGTGCTTGGGCCCTGCACTCACATGGGAGACCAGGAGGAAGCACCTAGCTCCTGGCTTCGGATGGGCGCAGCGCGCCGGCTGTAGCAGCCATTTGTGGGGTGAACCAATGGAAGGAAGACCTTTCTCTCTGTCTCTCTCTCTCTCACTGTCTAACTCAGTCAAAAAAAAAAAAAAAAAAAAAAAAAAAAAGGATAACTCCCTCATTCCCTTTTGTAATAATGCAGGGACACTGACTTTTTTTTTATACCATTGCTATCATTATTGCCTTACGTGATCCTGCCATAATGCAGTGATGTTAGGTCACGAGGGTACTGTGGGTTGTTTTCACTCTACACTAAGCTCCCTTACTGCCGTCCTTCTGTCATTCTTGCTTCTGTCTTTTTCACCCTAGTTTTACCTGTGACTCCCCTATAATGCCAGCCTGCCATCCTCTCAACCCTGAATGCTGATTTAGGTATGGGAACCAGGGTAATTGTCATATTGTAGAATGATGAATATAGTAACGATGGAACTATTTTATTTTATTCATTTAAAGATTTATTTTATTTACTTGAAAAGCAGAGTGACAGAGAGAGAGGGAAAGACACAAAGAAAGAGATCTTGCATCCTCTGGTTCACTCCCCAAGTGGCCACCATGTTTCTGGGCCAGGGTGAAGCTAACCAGGAACTCTATCCAGGTGTCTTACATGGGTGGCAGGGACCCCAGCACTTGAGCCATCTTCTGCTGCCTCCCAGGTACATTATCAGGGAGATGGATTGGAAGTGGAGCAGCCAGGACCTGAACTGGTGCTCTGATACGGGATTCCAGTGTAACAGGCGGTGGCTCAACCTGTTGCACCACAACAATCACTGCTTTACAAGTAACATCTGTGCATTACTCCAACTATTTCACTTACATCTCAGCACAATCTCATGAGATGATAACTATCATTCCATTTTTTAGATGCAGGAACCAAGATGTGACCCACGGTTGTTCTAACTTGATGGCTCTATATTTGGATAAAATTCGCATAGGATGGGAAGTGAAGTGATAGATAGACTTGGTGACATCTATTTTGGCTACTCTGAGGCTTGTTTTGCTTACTTCCTGATTTTTTATTATGTTTTATAGGAATGAGATTGCATTGTCCTATAGATTTAAGGATGGATTATTCGGCAATTATTGTTATTGTGTGATAAAAATAATGTCCAGTATGTATTCTTGAGAACAGTTTTGCTCACTGTAGATGATCCACAAACACAGGAATCTGTGGGGCTGGTGCTATGGCGCAGCAGGTTAAAGCCCCGGTCTGCGGTGCCAGCATCCCATATGGGTGCAGGTTCGAGTCCTGACTGCTCCACTTCCAATTCAGCATCCTGCTGATGTGCCTGGGAAAGCAGTGGAGGAAGGCCAAGTCCTTGGGCCGTTGCACCCACATGGAAGACCTGGAGGAAGCTCCTGGCTCTTGGCTTTGCATCAGCTTAGCTCTGGCCCTTGTGGCCATTTGGGGAGTGAACCAGCAGATGAAAGACCTCTCTCTCTCTCTCTCTCTCTCTCTGTTTCTACCTCTCTGTAACTCTTTAAAATAAATAAGTAAAACAAATCTTAAAAAAAAAAAAAACACCACCAGGAATTGGTGCATCTGGTTCCAAACAACAAATGCTTTTCTGAGTATCTTTGTCTTTCAAATAAAAGGTTAATTTCATTCTCAATGCACTGTGTGTCTGAAGAGCAAAGCTAAATTGTATTTGAGCTTTTTATATTTCTTTTTGTTCTAGTATTAAGTAGCAATTAGCTTTAAGTTATTACCTTTAGAGAGTATAAAATTCTGACCATTTAAAGGAAGCCCACTTAAATTTCTAAACCACTTCACCATGGCAAACTAACCCACAGATAATAAGAGTGAGAAGGGATTGCATAATATCTTTTTCCTTCTATTGTATTTAAAGTCAATTTAAATTACAAGGCCAATTTAAATCATCTTCTGCATCTTGCACATAATATGATTTATCTTAAAAGTATTCATTTAAAAATATTCCTTTTACAATAAAACATTTTGTCATTCTGCATAATCATTATGAGTATCCTATTGCTAGACTTGAAGTTTCTGTTCAAGCTTTGGAAGGCCATTTCCTTGCAGCAAAACACCTGTCGTTCAACTCTCCTCTCTAGATTAGTATTTAACAGCATTTATACAATGACTGAGGCCAGAGAGTGTTGTGACTTTAAGGGAAAATAGTAGACACTCGGAATTGAGGCCCTCTTAAAGCTGAAGCAAGTGGTCAAGAATAGACTGAAAAAAAAAAAAGAGTATAAAGAATACCATTATAGGTACTTGGAGTATTTTAAGTAATTGATATCACACAAATAATTCTCTTCTAGGTGTGAGGGCAAGTAATATCAGCTTCATTGCCATTGCAAAGGGAACCATCAGTTCAATTTCTGAGGTTAGTGAAAAGCATGGTGACATGGATGTCCTCTGTATTCTAATCAAATTAGTAATGCCATAGAGATAGGAGGGAACAAACCTGCACACATGTAGCATCGTAATATTTGCTTATAACAAATTACTTTCCTTGACAAGAATGATCCAAATCCCACAGTTTCTTTTCTTTTTTTTTTCTTTTTGACAGGCAGAGTGGACAGTGAGAGAGAGAGAGAGAGAAAGGTCTTCCTTTTGCTGTTGGTTCACCCTCCAATGGCCGCCACGGCTGGCGCACTGCAGCCGGCGCACCACGCTGATCCGATGGCAGGAGCCAGGTACTTCTCCTGGTCTCCCATGGGGTGCAGGGCCCAAGGACTTGGGCCATCCTCCACTGCACTCCCTGGCCACAGCAGAGAGCTGGCCTGGAAGAGGGGCAACCGGGACAGAATCCGGTGCCCCGACCGGGACTAGAACCCGGTGTGCCGGTGCCACAAGGCGGAGAATTAGCCTAGTGAGCCGCGGTGCCGGCCTAAATCCCACAGTTTCAATAACCAAAAGGCTTTGTTAGCAGCAGCTATATTGGTGCTCACTCAACAGGCAACTGCAGAAATATAACACCAAGAATTCTAACTTCTATCAAATTTGGCGTACAGCATTAGGCATAAACTGAACTCCATCCTAGAAAACAGCTGCATCATAAAGGTAAAGCCTGGTCTCTGTCCTACAGCTGACATTAAGTGCCCAATCAATCAGAAACAAGGAGGAGTATCGCAACATTTACAAGGATTCTAGAATCTGCTGGCGGCGCCCATTTAAACAGCTGGGAATTTTCCCCTCACTACTGGGGTTCTCATGAACATCATTAGGTTATAGTTCTGACCAAAGCACCATTACTGTTGTTGCTGACAGTGTGGAGGTGCACTGAACACTCACCCATACACTGAGAGCTTTGAATAGGGATAAAAAATTCAGAGTGGCAGGGGAATGGCCAGGCAAGCTACTGCTTAAAGACATATCTCATCAACACCATTGTTTGGCCTTCTTTGAGTATTTGCACTCGATAACAGAACCTCCCTCCATTCGCCCTTACTTAGGGGTTCTTAGTTTTAGGAGACATGCAGATCTTGGTATATGGTTAATTTTCCTTCCTTCTGGGAGGCAGCAGGAGGCAGTGAGAAACCCTACTTGTGAAGTATTCTTGCAAAGGAAAACAAAATGGAATCTGAATCTAATTAAGTCTTTATATCTACCTTTCAATCTATAGAACATACCAGAGATAGGGGGACATGTTAGATACAAGCGGGAACCAAATCCTTTCATTAGGAAATGTAATCCAGTTTCTCTAACAAGTCAGTGGCATAACCAAAGTAAAGGGAGAGAAGAGTAAATATTTCATTTAAGAGAGACTTAACAACCAAATACAATGAGTGGACCTTACCTGAATGCTGATTCAAACAAAACAGTTATAAAAAGATATTCTTTTTCTTGACATTTGGGAGAAATCTGAATATGATCAGAGTATTAGAAGATATTAAAGTATTATTGTTTATTTTGTTAGGTATGGTAACACCATCATAGGTATATTAGAGAATGGTGCTATTATTTGAGATGTATACCAAAATGACATGATATCTAGAATGTTCTTTAAAACAATCCAGCCCACCCTCCCCCAAGAAAGGCAGGGTTGGGGGAGGAGATTGATGAAACAGTGACAGAAAAATGTTCTCAGTAACTGAGGCTGGGGGATGAGCAAGTGAAGGTGCTGATTGTGTTTCCAATGTTTGTATATATTTGAGAGTTTTCATGCACACTGTTAAAGAATGAGAGAAAGTAGTATGGGGAGAAAGAGAACATGAGAAAGAAGGAACGCTACATGGGAATTAGAAAGGAGAAAAAGTTTGGAAAGTTGCTTTCTTTATATCAAACTCAATGATGCATAAAGAAGATGACTTCTTCAAATGAGTTGCACTTAAGAAAGTATTCTGATATAAAATTTATTTCATTGGGCTAGAAAGTCTGTAATAGAAAGTGCAAAGAAGGAAAGCATTTAAAACTTAGTTAAAGCAAGCCAAACTAACCCTGTATATGAAATAACAATATTGTTTTCATACCCTGGTTTCATGAAAACTCTGCCAAAATGGATCTGAGCGTGAAGGTCAATGTCCAGCACCTGCTTGAGATAGTCCTGCAAACAGTAAGAATGATCGCCTTACTCTCAAACATTTAACATCAGACTTCCAACTTTAAATGACAATGAAATGAACTGATAAGACTGAAATGAAAAAAAATTTAATTTTAGTGAAGTTCATTTGTTTAACATTCCTTCATTCTTCCCTTATTCATTTATTCATTCAATAAATATGAGTTAAGAACCTGGTATATGCTAAGTACCAAGGTAGGTACAGGGGGTAAAGCCTTCTACAAAAGAGAACATGTCCTTGCCCTCAAAGCGCTTTCCAGTGGGGTTTAGAGCAACAATTTAAATATATTCATGTACAATACCACTGCCTGTAAGTAGCTGGCTCTGTTTCAGGCAGAGAAAGGATGCTAAGTAATATATGCCTTAAGATATTGTGCCTAGGCAGAGAAGCCATAAGTATTAGTGTACTTCAAAAAGTTCATGGAAATGTATATGAAGAAAAAAACTATGCCTGGATTTCATAGATGTGTTGTAACAAAATAAACATATCTTTTAATTCATTTTTTCTATCAACTTTTTGAAGTACCCTTGTATGTGCCCTACATAATTCTGCTTAATGGATTTCAAATAACATACATTTCTTTAAGAGAGACATGGATAATTGCCCACAGGTTGCCAAACATAAAAAAAAGTCAACTAAAATGAAAACCAGGGAGGGAACTCTAAGACAGAAAACTAAGGAAGTTGGATTACTGCAGCTCATATTCTGTAAATAAAAGCCTGCAGCAATGACCAACCTAGAGAGATCTGACAAAACGTGATCTCTAGAAATGAATAGCTACACTGTCCTGTGGTTAGACACAAAGGGAAAACTGCAGACTTTAAATCTTCTCTCACGAGATACAGCCTCTAGGTCTATTACTGATTTTTTTTTTTTTTTGGACAGGCAGAGTGGACAGTGAGAGAGAGAGACAGAGAGAAAGGTCTTCCTTTGCCATTGGTTCACCCTCCAATGGCCGCCGCGGCCAGCGCGCTGCGGCCAGCGCACCGCGCTGATCCTATGGCAGGAGCCAGGTACTTCTCCTGGTCTCCCATGGGGTGCAGGGCCCAAGCACTTGGGCCATCCTCCACTGCACTCCCGGGCCACAGCAGAGAGTTGGCCTGGAAGAGGGGCAACCGGGACAGAATCCGGCGCCCCAATCGGGACTAGAACCTGGTGTGCCGGCGCCGCAAGGCAGAGGATTAGCCTAGTGAGCCGCGGCGCCGGCCTATTACTGAATTTCTTACTCACTAACCTAAAACCAAGCCTAGTAACCTAGCAAACTTTTAAATATTTCACAATCTATGAAACAGTTTATTTTACTTAAAAAATGTGTTCTCTTTTCTCCATCTCACACCCCTAGCCAACATCGTGTCTCCTGGTTTATTGCAATAGGTCTCGCTGCCAGTGGTCCCACTCTCCTCCAATTCATTCTCTGTTCAGCAGTGAGACAGGGCCTCTGAGCAACTGATTATATAACACTTCAATAACTTCCTGCTTTTTAGGAAAAAGCTGCATCTTTTAATCACAGCTAATATTCCTGCACTTTCTAGTCCCCATTACAAATCATTGTTCTCATCAGGCAACTCTCTTCCCACTCTTTCTATATTTTAACCAAAACTATATTTCATTCAGCTTCTTCTTTTTGAAAATTTAAAAAATTTATTTGAAAGGCAGAGAGACTCAAAGAGCAGGAGATCTCCTAACTACTGGTTCATGTCCCACGTGCTCACAATGGCTGGGGCTGCGAAGCTGCAGCTAGGAACATGGAACTCAATCAGGATTTCCCACGTGAATGGCAGAGACTCCACCACTTGAATCATGGCCTGCTGCCTCCCAGGGGGTACATTAGCAAGAGGTTAGAATCAGGAGTGGAACTGGGATTTGAGCCCAGGTATTCCATTAGGAGATGTGGGCATCCCAAAGGGTGTTTTAGCTCTGTGCTAAATGCCCTCCCCTGCATTCAGTTTCTGAAACTCCCTTGCCTTCAGTCTTTGAAAAATGTTCTTCCTTCTGCTTACCCCCCATCCCACCCTTATTTCAGCCTCATTTGTCTTCTCAGCCTCCTCACAACTCCCAAGGCTGGAATGATAAATTACTTATTTTTATTTTGAGGTTATAGTATTAGATATGCTAAATTTAGAATTGTGATATATGTCTGGTGAACAGAACCATTTAAAATGACTAAATGCCCCTCTAATATCTAGTAATCCTTTCAATTTTTTATAATATTAATATAGTTATACCAGCTACTGTTTTTCTAAACTTTTACTTTTTTTTTCTATGTCCTTATATTTAAGTGTCTATAAGCAGCATATAATTGGCTGGTTTTTACAGATAACCCAGAATGACAATTTTTAGTTGTAGGACTTAGTTTGTATTTAGCATGATTACAGCTATATTTGTTTTTTTTTTTTAACTTTTATTTAATGAATATAAATTTCCAAAGTACAGCTTATGGATTACAATGGCTTCCCCCCCATAACGTCCCTCCCACCTGCAACCCTCCCTTTCCCACTCCCTCTTCCCTTCCATTCACATCAAGATTCATTTTCGATTCTCTTTATATACAGAAGATCAGTTTAGCATACATTAAGTAAAGATTTCAACAGTTTGCTCCCACATTTTAAACTATCACTAAACTATTTGTTTTCTATTTGTCACTTCTGTTTTCCCTTTTTTCTTCTTCCACACCTTCTTTAGGAGTCATCAAATATCTGTTCCTTTATTTCCTTTTCCTCTGTTAGTTTATTAGTTACATATTCTTATATTATTTTAGTGTTTATTTTAGAGATTACAAAATGCATCCTTTTATCACTTCCCAGGTAATATAAGAACCTTAAACAACATTAACTCTATTCCTCTTTTTATGCTGTATATATTACATATTTTACATACATTTTGAATGAATACTCATTTGTACATATATTTAAATATATTTTAACTCTATTATATATTTTCCCACATATACTATATATAAAGTATACTCTATATTTCATACATAATACTTACATATATTTTAAACCTTACAAGATATTATTGTTTTATACTGTCAACATTCATTTACATTTACTGACTTCTAATGCTATTTTGCTCTTTGTTCCTTTCCACATTTCCATAATCCTTCTGCTTAAAAAACTCCCTTGAGTATAGGTCTGCTCCGTTTTCATCTGGTGAAAACTGCCTTTATTTCACCTGCATTTTTGAAGGCATTTTTTTTTCTGGATATTTAGTTCCATATTGGCAATGATTTTTTCCTTCATTTTACAAAGATCATTCATTGTTTTTTGGGTTCTGTCATTTTCATTTAAGTCATCTCTGTTAATTTTATTTATTAAAGGTAATGTGTCCTTGTGGTAAGGTTTTCTCTTTGTCTTTGGTTTTTAGTAGTTTTACTATGATTATGTAGGTAGGTTTCTTTGTATTTATTCTTCTTGAGATTAGTAGAGATTCTTGGATCTCTGGCTTGATATTTTATAGGTTTTGCAAGACTAATCCAGAATCTCTTAAATATTTCCTCTCCTCAGTCTTTTTTTTTCTTCTTGAATTTCAATTACACATATGTAGACCACTCATACTACTCCATTTATCCTTTATGCTTTTTTTCCATACTTACTAACTCCCCCCCCCCCTTTTTTTTTTTGACAGGGAGAGTTAGACAGTGACAGAGAGAGACAGAGAGAAAGGTCTTCCTTCCGTTGGACTAACCCTTTTCCAAAACTTTGGTTCTTATGAATAGATTCCAATTTTTTAGTGAAATTCTCATAATTTTTTTTTTTTTAATTTGACAGATAGCGTTAGACAGTGGAGAGAGAGACAGAGAGAAAGGTCTTCCTTCCGTTGGTTCACTCCCCAAATGGCCGCTACGGCTGGTGCGCTGTACCAATGTGAAGCCAGGAGCCAGGTGCTTCCTCCTGGTCTCCCATGCGGGTGCAGGGCCCAAGCACTTGGGCCATCCTCCACTGCCTTCCCGGGCCACAGCAGAGAGCTGGACTGGAAGAGGAGGAGCAACCGGGACTAGAACCTGGCGCCCATATGGGATGCTGGCGCCGCAGGCGGAGGATTAACCAAGTGAGCCACGGTGCTGGCCCCATTTCTTTTTCTTAAACATACAAGAAGTAAAGTATATGTGAAGCAATATAAATAACAGGATCACTTTTAGGGCTATTTTATCAGTTCGTTCTTGTCTGAATTTTTAGTCATTTTGTTCTATTTCTGATATGTCTGATAATTTTAAAAAGTGAAGCCCTAACATATAATGAAAAGAGGTTCCAGATAATGACAAGTTCCTCCAGAAGGGATTCAATTTATTCTGGCAGTTAAAGTAAACTCCGGTTATCTTGGGATAAGTGGGAATTGAGATAATTTGGTGCTGGATTTCAGGCCTTCTAGGCTAGCTTATTTCCAGTTTGTTCTTATTCCTGGAACTTCTTCAAGGGTTTAAACTGAAAGCCTGAGATATTTGCTAGAGCCCCTCTTCCATGGCAGGTGCTGAATTCCTGAGATGGATGAAAATTCTGCTTATTTTATTTGCTTCTTTGCTACTCTTTGATGCTTCGCTTCTTGGCCTCTTTGACCATTACACCTCTCCCCTGACCTCTCTCCTAAGCCAAGAGGAACTGGTAAATGCTAGAAGAATTCCAGTTTTACCTCAGTGATTCACATTTCTCTGTGATCTTAGTGAGTTCAATGCTGGCCGTCTTGGTTGATCTCTTATACATCTATCTGCCTTTTCTTTTTCTTCTTTAGAGACTTTTGTGTAGCTTCGATACTTGATCTTAGCCAAAAGACCGAGAAGCGGTTGTACAGCTTCTATAGATATTCTTGGTGGGAGGGTAGGTCCAATTATGCTATTTCATCATAGCAGGAGAAATCTCCAGACTTTCTTAGGTGTTTCGATAGTGTTATGTCCTGACATCATGTACTTGGACTATACTGCGATGGCCTGAAAACGGGTATATATCCTCCGCTGGGCTACAAATTTTGTGGGTACATGGATCTATCT